CTAGCCACAAGACCAGATCTCTGGATATTCAAGCTTACTGTCTTGAGCAATGGAACATATTTCTAAAAATGCCAGATGCCAAAAAAAAAAAAAAAAAGGTAACCATGAGCATTTGTAATCCTGCTGATATAACAGCATGATTATCCATGTTGATTAAAATGCAATTTCTAAGATTGGTGGTAAAAAAATATTGTGTTCAATTAGCATAAGATGGCCTATTCTGCTAAAGATAACATGACATTCCATCTTTATGGTTTGTTTTAACGTAGGGCTCTAGAAGAACTTACTAAGCAGTTTTAAATTAGGGTCATGGTGGCCTGATACATTTTTTATTCTTCTCTAATTAGATAATGATGATCACACAGTATTCTTAAAAATTCCTTAAAGTTGATTAAGAATTTACAGGGTGACTATTGGGTCTGTGCTGCTCCACACTTACACGTCTATGGGCTGACAGATCAAGCCCTAACAGAGAAAACCTGCCTGCTGCTATAAATGGATGTGTGGGCTATATGACGAAATGGCATTCCAAGAATTTCTGCTTCACCCAATTAAAATCCTGAACCTCTAGACACTAAGAGAGATATATGCATACATTGTAAAAACATCCATGTGATGACATTGATCAGAAAGATAGAGAAAAATTAGGGCATTGAATGGTTTGAATCACATGATTAAAATACTATTACTTTGTTTTCATTTGAAATTTCATATATTTCAATTAAATTCAATTGCAGACCTAGGTGGCATTTTTCTATTGATATCACTGTATAGCAGGAACATTTAGAAACATTGTTTTCCCATTTTTTTCCTCTTTAGTATTACTTTGGCTTTATTTTCTTAATCTTTATGCCACATGTTTGACTTTTATTAATCTATTCTGACAAGACTTACATGAGTTTATGTGAACATTAGAGAATTAAAATTTCTCCTTGTTCCTTCAACTTCCCTCAAAGATAAAAAAGGACAAACGTAAGAGTCTATATTACAAAGGAATCATACATACCATTGCTATAGTTATAGTAGACCCACTGCCCACTCTTGGGTTTGGGAAGTGACACGGGTGTCTCCTCAGCAGGGAGGCTATAGAATCGGCACTCAACGAAGAGCCGTTGGATAGTGTCATCCATGGTTATTGGAGAATCATTAAGGCTTAGAGCTATGATCTCAATCCGAATTTTTTCTGATGGCTGTTTAAAGAACAAAACAAAAAAACAACAAAGACATGAAACAAACAAAAAGATCCTTTATTATTTTCCACTATCAATTTTGAATAAAACGCGAAGGCCAATGGGTTTCTTTTCTTGAACACAAACTACACGACTGTGTTACACATGATAGATTATTCATGACAGAGAGAGAGAGAATGAGATTCTAATGCCCCAGGGTCTGAAGTTAACAGTGTCATGGCAATAGTCTCCTGATTTACATTTGAGGCTATAAATACCCCACTAGTAGTCTATCAGGAGTGAAGATTATGAGATCTTCATCTCTGATTGCCTTCAGAATGACAAGTATCAGTTGGCTCTGTTTCAAACTATGTAATGAAGTACATGTTTATCACTGCTTTTATTTAATCTACAGTACCTGAGAAAGTTTCAGTTATTCAGAGATCAAAGCCTGTTGAACACTTTATAGGTATTATGGTAATATATGTAGCTGTATGAATCTGTATTAACTAGAGCAGAAACTACAGTTCATTCTCTCATATATTCTGCCCGAACATATTTCATTCAATAAGTAATACATTTTCAAACAAAAGAAACAAAATATTACATCTAATTTAACAAGAATATTTTTCTCATAATTTATTTTTTACTTTAGTTTTACAGAATTAACAACTAAAATGATATTTGTTTGCTTGAATTTCACTTTAATCATTGTTTAGGTTT